CGCCTTGCGCAGTGGTGAACACTCCACCAGTCGGTCTGATGCAGGGGTGGGCGGAGGGGGGCAATGGGGAGAGCGGAGGGATAGGCAGGCAAAAGGGGTGTCAGGTGCATTGACATTGAGGGGTAAACGAGAATGCAGATGGGAGCAGGGTGGGTATGTTTTGAGTTGACTTGCGAGCTGCACTGATAATCGAGTGTGTGCACATGTTTGTGCATGAAAGAGGAACGGAGGTGTTGCGGAGTGAGGGGAGGCGGAACAGGGAGGGGGGGGGAGGTGGGGGTCCGGGAGAGGGAGGAGGGCGAGCACGAAAGGTTGAGCGTACTGTTGATAAAGAGCACCATCGTGGTCTTCTTGGCACTATAATTCGCCGACGAGATCAACCCCCTCATCGAGAACTGCACGCCGTCGCCTCTGCCCCCCTCGTCACTCCCACCACCTTCCCCACCTTCGCCTTCTCCCTCCCCCACCCCCTCTCCCTCTCCCCGAGCGCCCTCTTTCTCCCCCCATCCCCCGCGCCTGGCCGCAATGGGAATGAGGTCGCGGGCCACAGCAGCGCCATACACAGCTCGCACCGCCTCCACTTGTCTCCTCCTGCGCTCTGCCTCCGCCTCCTCCTCATCCTCTTCATCATCCTCCGTCTCCTCCTCCCCCTTCTCCATCGCCTCTTCCTTTCCTTCTGTCCGCTCCCCCTCCCCTGCCTCGCCACCCCCTTCAGCTCTCCCTTCAGCACTGCTCTCCACGCCCAAGCCCTTTCCATTATCTTTCCCTCTCCGCCGTTTCTTCCCACCTGCCCTTGCTTCCTGCTTGGGAGCACCAGGAGTGAAGAGGTCGGTGCGTGCCTCACCGTACTGCCATGAGAAGAGACACGAAGAGAAGGAACGGGGAGAAAGGAAGCAAGAGGAAGGATGGGATGCACAAGAGGGCACACCTGGGATGGGAGCACCAGGGGTGAAGAGGTGCTGGCCTCTCGCACTGTACCGAAGGGTAGAAAGGAAAGACGTGGGAGATTGTGGGATAACGGGCGAAACAAATCTGGTGAAACGGGGAGACGGGGAGATGGAAATGAGTGCGGGATAGGGGGAAAGCGTGCGCGTGGAGAGAGCAGAGCGACGAGGAGGAGGAGGAGGCTGAGCGCGCGTGAGCAGCAGGCACCCGTGGCGCACCTTCTTGCAGGAGAAGCACACGTCATAGTTGTGTATAGCAAAGCGGCTGAGCACGTCGAGGATGCGCGCGTACTCCTCGCTGTGGCTGCGGAAGGCCTTGCGCCGCGCAGGCACGTTGAAGAACAGGTCGTCCACCACCACCTGCGTGCCCTGCACCGCCGCACACGCCACTGGGGGCCCCTCCAGTTCACCGTCTCGGTACTGTGCCCTGTGGGGTGGGTGGGGAGAGGTGGAGGACTTCTGAGCCACAGGAAGAGCAGGCGCGTTGAACAAGAGGTCGTCCACCAGCACCTGCGTGCCCTGCACCGCCGCACACACCACTGCCGCGCCCTGCATCTCCCCGTCCCGGTACTGCGCCCTGGCGGATGCGAGGAGAGGCAGAGGGGATTAGACTTGAGTGGAAGGGAAAGGCAGGCGCGTTGAACAAGAGGTCGTCCACCAGCACCTGCGTGCCCTGCACTGCTGCACACGCCACTGCTGCGCCCTCCAGCTCGCCGTCCCGATACTGCGCCCTGCCGGGTGGGTGGGGAGAGGAGAGGCGGAGGAGTTTAATTTGAGTTGACATGAAGGAAATGGCACGTTGAAGGAGAGGTGGCCCTGCCTCACATGTGTGCCCTCCATCGCCGCACATTGCGCCGCCTCGCAATGCAGCTCACCGTCCCGGTACCAACCCAAGTGGGTGGGCAAGGAGAGGCAGAGCGAATCTGCACCGCGGTGATGCCTCTGGTCCACCTGACTGCAGCAACCCCACCCGAGCACTCATGCTGCCTCGCACCGAAATGCTGCTGAAAGACCTCCCAGACGGTCGCCTCTACTCTCGCCACAGCCAACATCTTCACAGCACAGCCTTCAGCAAGTGCGCACCCACCAATCCCACCAAGCACCCTTGAGCAGCCGGCGAGGCGGCTGACCTGAAGCCGTGAGTCTGGCCAGCGGTCATGGTGGTGACGGTGAGGTGCGCGACGTCACATCACCTTCAAAGCGCAACCTGTAGCAAGTACGCACCCACGAGTTTCACCCATGATTCCCCACCCTGCACCCTTCAGCACCCCTTGAAGCGGCGCACCTGAAGCCGTGCGTCTGGCCAGCGGTCATGGTGGTGACGGTGAGGTGCGAGACAAAGGTGAGGCTGGCGAGGGCCTCCCCGCGGAAGCCCAGCGTGGCCATGCTCTCCAGATCCTCAAACGCCCTCAGCTTCGATGTCGTGTGCCGCTCACACAGGATCGGTAGGTCCTCCGGCTAGGGGGGTGGGGAGGGTAGAGGGGAGAGGGGAGAGGGAGAGGGGAGAGGGGAGAGGGGAGAGGGGGAGAGGGGGAGAGGGGGAGAGGGGGAGAGGGGGAGAGGGGGAGAGGGGGAGAGGGGGAGAGGGGGAGAGGGGTGCAGGGAGAGGGGAGAAAGGGAGAAGGGGAGAGATGGAGAAGGAAGGAGGCATAGATGGGGGATTTTGAGAGGACGAGATGCGCTGGGACGGTCGGGAAGCTCATGGCTTAGATGCAATGTGCCCAGCATTCTCACGTGCGCAGGCTGTGGTTGAGAGCTGTGTGTGGAATGGCTTGAGAGGACAGAGAGTGAGCAAGTGTCAAAGACATGGTCCTGCTGTGCCAAGAGTTTGCCTCTACTTGTCCCGATGCATCATGACGTGTAGTCTTGCGCCATGATGCGCGCTTCATGAGCCGCTGCACGTCACAGGTCGTCGCTGCGTGTCACATGCACCTCACGCCTTGACGCCACCCCTCACCCTCACCCCGAAACCACGCACACGCTCACCCCACCGCCCTCCCGCGCAACTCACGCGGACACCATGGCCGTCGTCGGTTATGAGCATCATCTTGAGCCCGCCGTCCTTCACCACCACGCCCACGCCACTCACCCGGACCACACGCATTCTTTTCCCCCACCACCAGAACTCACCTCCTCCCCCCAGCACTCACGCGGATGCCATGGCCGTCGTCCGTGATGAGCATCATCTTGAGCCCGCCGTCCTTCACCACCACGCCCACGCTCCGCGCGCGCGCGTCCAGGCTGTTCTCCACCAGCTCCTTCACGGCCGACGCCGGCCGTTGGATCACCTCGCCCGCCGCGATGCGGTTCACCACCGCCTCGTCCAACCGCCGGATGACAGGTGGCAGCACAGCGGCGGCGGCGGCGTCGCCGCCGTCGGCTGCGGCGGACATGCCGGCGGGTTTTTCAGAGGACGCTTTCGTAGATGGTCGAACAGTGCACGGGATGTAGTTATACCAGTGAATGCAGTTTTACGCCCCCATACCCCCCACTAAAGCTTCGAGTGACCAATGGCGTGAAGGTAACGCGACTAGTACACGTGGCTACTAGTAGTGCCCGGACCGCGGATGCGCGTCGAGCGAGGAGAGCCCGCGGCCACAAAAGCGGCACTCGCGACGCCTTATTATTCGAACCGTTCCGGAAGCGGTTTCGGAAGCTTTCCACCTTTATCAGACAGTCTTAAGAAAATGATCGATGAGGCTTCACAAACAGACCGTCTTTCGAGTGCAGAGCTCAGAGGAGTGAGAGGCCGACATGCCAACTCGGCCATCTAGGTTACGGGTAAGTGGTCTGTTGCATAAACGCACCGCGTTTACCATGAACACCTTTCGAAATTTTGAAATATGAAGTGTGATCTGTGATCAGTGTTCTAAGGGCGTGTCTCTTTTTTGACGGTGACGGTTCGAACCGTGGACCGTCCGGCTCGCGAAAAGGTTACCTACTTCGCACTACTTCGCGACTTTTTCGCCATGGTCTTCACGATTTCGCCCACAGTTCGAACCGTCACATCACTTTTCCCTCCAAGCAACGGTTCACAATGTGAACATTTGTCAGTTCGATAAGCAAACGGACGGAACTCCATCTCTGACATCTGATTGGCGCGCGAAAAACCCAAAAAAAATACACCGAGCCGCATCTCCAACAAAATTTTTGGCGCGCGGCGCCAGACTGAACATTGAACCATACACACCCCCACTACCCCTGCTACACTACAAAGACGATTCCACTTCGAACCGAACCACCACAATCAGCACGCAATGGAGCAGTCTAGCGGAAATGAGAACTCTGGACCGGCAAACACCACACCCAACACCTCCGTCCCTAGTACCTCTACCCAACCTGATCCTCATGCTGCTGCTCCAGAGACACAAGAGTCTCAGATCCAGAATCAGCCTCCCGCCAATGCTCAAACCCCGACCACAACCACCAACACACAAGTTGACTGGTGGGTCTACCACATCCCGTCTCCCACAGCCTCGTACGACGCCGACGACGACTACGGACTAGGCGCAGATATGGACAACGCCGCGACGCTCGGGGAGGTTGAGGAGGAGCCCGCTGAGCAGGAGACGTCCCCGACCCGCGAGACCACCGCTCCGTCACGCAGATCTACGGGCAGGACGCAGCCACGCTGGACCCCAGAGGAGGAGTGCGAGGTCCTCGCCGCTTTCATCACCCGCCAGGCCCGGATCCGCGCGCGTACGGGTCAGCAAGGCCGAAGCTGGTATCCGCTCATCCAGGAGGAGCTCCTGCTGAAGAATCCGACGTGGCGCCACGACATCTCCGCTCTCAAGGCCAAGTACAATCGCATGAAGGAGCAGTGGCGCCGCATCAACGATCGCATCAAGCGCTCGGGGGCGGGACGCGCCACTGGTCTGCCTCCTTGGTACCACCTCGGCGACGCTTTATGGGGTGAGCGCCCGAGTACCATCCCCCCCGTACTTGCAGGCACGGGCGTCAATCGAGCCACAAGTTCAAGGTCTGCGACGGCAACGCCACCTCCCGCCAACGCCCGTCGTCGGCCAGCTACGACGAATGCGACGCCCACGTCGCATACAACAAATGCCGTCGCGAACGCGGACAGTCCGGCTCCCAGCATCGCGCTACCACCGCCTTCCCCGCCACTCCCACATCCCATACTCTCCAACCCCCCGATCGCTACTGAGACCACGCCGACTGGTGTGGTGGCGCCCACATCTCCTACTCCCAATCCCCCGCGCGCATCACCCGCGCCTTCCCCCTCTATCGCCAGACACCATCCCGTCGGCGTCTCCTACTGCCGCCGCGACGGAATCAGGTGCGACGACGGGTGTCTCGATCCGTGGTCGTCGCCAAGTCGGGGGAGCGCTCGCGTCGTCTGATGGGCAAGAGGGATGCAGCCGGCATGCATGGTATCAGTATCCCCGCCAGCAGCCCGAAGGCAAGGATGGCAAGGGGGGTAAGACCGGATCAAAGGGCCAAGGTCGGAAATCTGCTGGGCAATCCAGAGCCCAAAGCACCGCGGATCTTGTTCGAGAGCTCCGCGACCATAACGACAAGCGTCAAGAGGAGAATTGGGGCAAGTTCGAGGCGCTTACCCGGGAGGTGTTTCGCGGCTTCGCGGATGAGCGACGCAGTAGGAGGCGTAGTCCACCTCTTCATCCGAAGACGAGGCGTGAACCCGCGGACCTCGGCGCCGGTGAGTCGAAGCCGTGACGCCGGACCCGCGAGCCACCAACGATTCCGCTCGTTTGGTGGGCCAAGTCGATCGCGGCTACCGATCGTGAGCTCGATGTTGTGCATCGCGACGCACGCGCTCACGACCTGCGGGACGCGGTCACTATGGCACTCCATACGAGCATCAAGGATCCTCCATTTCCCCTTCAATCTCCCGTTCACTTGTTCAACCACCATCCGTTGCCTTGACTGTTGTGTGTTCCATTTGTCCTTCGCCCTTGGCAGAGCCCTTCCCGGTGTAGCACGCCATGGGACGCATGTGTAGCTTTTCAAGGCATACGCGGCGTCGCTGACCAGCATGTAGTTGCCTAAATCCCCTGCTTCCATGCACTCCCGGAGGGGTGAGTTGTTGAACACCCGCGCGTCATTCACACTCCCGGGATAGCCGACGTTGTAGTCCCAGATAATGCCGTTGCTATCACAAGCTATCTGTAGGTGGATAGAGTAGAAACCCTTTCTGTTTTTGAAGTCTTCTTTGTCGCGTCCGAACCCCCTGCATTATATAAAAGTCCCATCCAATGCTCCAATGACACCCGGTATCCCCCCCTCGTAAGTGAACTCTGCCGCCATTTCTGCACATTGCTCAAGGGTGGGGTGTGTAACCCACAGAGGCTCCAACACGTTGACAATGAACGCTATGAACACGTAGATGAGGCGGAAGGCATGTTGAGGCACAACACCAAATTGCAATCCCACCTGACGGAAGGTGGCACCCGTGCCAAGATACACTAGAGTCATAGCCACCACTGTCTCAATGGGCACTACTCGTTGACGGTCCCCGTTCCGCGTTATCCACGCCTCCACTAGGTAGTCAAACACCGCCCGATTAACTCTGAACGTTTCAATAAATATGCGGCGAGGCAAGGAGTCGAGAAGGGCATCCCATCGTGCCCGCTGATTCTTACGGTCACGACGCATCGTGTTGCGGTCATCGTCCTCAAGCAGTAGAATAACATCCGTGAGCTGGTAAAAGGCTGGACGGACGATGAACTCGTGGTAGCCTCTGTAAAGCAGGTGAAGCACTGATAGGAGCAGCCTCCTAGACATGGCGTTGCATTCGTTCTGTTTTGATAGTGCTCTGTGTGTGTGGCTCGATGTTTTTTACTCTTGTGGTGTGATGTGAATTGTGTAGAAGGTTGACGGTTGGCTTTCAGGGGGCATCGAGCCGCGACCTGGCTATGCGATGTTGGCGATGGGGTGTGACTGAGGTTACGTGAGTGTACGATGCCTTGCGATGCTACAGTACTTCGGAATTCTGATGCACTCGGAAAAGTGATGCTTTTGCCTTCGGACTGTCCAATGTTTCGAATTTTTTAATCGGACGGTCCGATTCTCGCTATTGCAACTGTCCGTTTACATACAACCGGACAGTCCATCAAAATCCATAAAAGCAAAAAAGAGACACGCTCTAATTTGACAGTGACTTCACGATCACGAGGGGCGCACTTGAACTGTCCCGCTAAAACTACACCGTTGGTCTCAGAAACTAAACACAGCGGAATGAGTTGGATTGGATTGATTGGGTTGGGGTACAAATGCCTAACCCTAACTGTTTGTACCCCATATAGCATGACCCACTAGAGGCTATAATATTTGACACACCCCCATAGCCTAAGTGGGGAATGCAAATCAACAAGGAACGCAACCTAAGGTCACAAGATCAGTCACAAGAGAGAAAACAAAGCTGAGGGTGGATCACAAAGTCGCCACACAGTCTGAGCACAAACAAAGTGCCACAATGCCAGTTCAAGAGTATACAAGCTAATATACACTGAACGAAATAATTGTCCATATGTTCATGTTTCAAGACATGAACGGGCATTAGTGGCCATGGTGATTAAGCCTCAATAACTGGACCATATGAGGTTAAAGCCTGAAGGGTTGTACATCTAGACACGATGCATGTTGGCCATAAACTCGGTTAAACAAGCAGCGGATATAGAAATAGGTGTGAATCAAGAAAACAGGAATGGATGAACTATGAATGAATTGGGTACAAGTACTAACCCTAATTGGGTTGTACCCCTTATGGAGTACCCCACTATAGCCTACACAATATGCATGAGCTATGATGTTCTGACACACCCCCATAGGCAAAGTGGGGGAGAACAAGGGGTCACAAGACCAGTCAAGCAAAGCAAAGCAAAGCAAGCTCAGGGTGGATCACAAAGTCACCACACATTCCGAGCACAAGTTCAAGGCCACAAGGCCAGTTCACAAGCAGGAGTACACATATATATAAAAAGGCTAGACAAGCAAGAGCAGGTATATATATATATAACAGTACAAGCAAGGTCAAGAGGTGAGCAAGTGAGGCAAGGTAGGCACAAGGCCCAGCTGAGTACAGAAGCGCTGATGGTCACAAGGCGCAAGTGCCTTGGTGAAGATATCAGCAGTGTTGGCCTCAGAGGCCACGTACGCAAGACGCAGCTGACCACGCTGCTGCAGCTCACGAGCAAGAAAGTAGCGGAGAGCAATGTGCTTCGTTCTGTGCTCCAGTCGCTGCTCCCGACACAAGGCCAGCATGGCCTTGTTGTCTACGTACAGCACTGGAGGAGAACGAGGCAACTCTCCGAGGTCAGTCAGCAGGTAGGTGAGCCAGCGAAGCTCCTGTGCAGCCATGGCTCCTGCGTAGATCTCAGCCTCACAACTGGAGCCGAGAACAGAAGACGAGCGAGTAGCTCGCCACGAAACAGAGCCGGAACCAAGGCTGAAGGTGTAACCCTGTGACGACCGCTACGTAGCCTGGTCGTCAGCCCAAGAAGCGTCTGCGTGCCCAGTAAGGACCACTGGACTCTGCCCTCCAAGCACAAGCCCCATGCCCGACGTACTGCACAAGTAGCGCAACACCCTCTTCGCTGCAGCCATGTGCTCCGGTCTGTGTCTCCCAGGAGCAACATAGCGTGCAAGAATGCTAAGAGGGTATGCAAGGTCAGGTCGTGTGCAGGTCATCAGGTACATGAGGCAGCCAACAAGCTCTGGGTACGGGCCACTCGACTCTACGGACTCATCCGAAGGCAGAGCTGAGAGCGAGTGGCGAGTAGGCAGAGGAGTGGCCTGAGGCGAGGAGTACGTGAAGCCGAAGCGCTGAAGGACCTGCTGCACCATGTGTGACTGAGTCAGGGTAATGGTGCGGCGTGCTCTGTCCCGAGTGATCTGCAAGCCAAGGTAGCTGCGCAGTTCACCCAGGTCAGTGCACGTGTGTCTCTTCTGCAGCTCGGACTTCACGTGGGCTAGTTCTGCAGTGTCAGCTGTGGCAAAGACCAAGTCGTCGACGTACACGAGGATGTAGAACGGCGGCAAAGAAGTGTCGGTGCGCAGAAACAGCGACGGGTCGGCAGTAGAGGGAGCAAACCCAAGAGCCGCAAGTGTAGTCCTCAGTGTGTCGTGCCACTCACGCGGTGCCTGGCGGAGACCGTAGACTGGCCGCCGTAGGCTCCACTGGGTGCCAGGAGGAAAAGACCCAGTGAAGCCAGGTGGGCGACGCAGCCAGATCTCCTCGTGCAGGCTGCCCTGCAAGAAAGCAGTGCTGAAGTCAAGAGAGTGTAGCTCGTAGTCACGGTGAGCAGCTACGTGCAGCAGTACCCGAAGAGTGGTCATCTTCGGGGTGGGAGAGAAGGTCTGAAAGTAGTCAACTCCCTGCCGCTGACTGAAGCCACGAGCCACGTAACGCGCCTTGAAGACAGGCGGAGAACCCGGCGGTCGCTTCACCCTGAAAATCCACATGCCACTGACGATGTTCGCCCCAGGAGGGGGAACAGCGTCAACGTAGGTGCCTGTGGACTTCCAGGAAGCCATCTCTGCGTCCATAGCTGCCTGCCACTGAGAGGAGTAGGGACCCTCTATCGCCTCCGCGTAAGAGCGCGGAGTCGGGATGTCAAGTGCATCCGGGTCTCCCTCAGGGGTAAGCAGTACGGACACGAGATGAGGTGAAGCAGCGGCCAAGCACTGGAACTCCTCCTGCCTGTCCTCAAGGACGTCCGTGCCAAGGGCACACTCACCCCCGACGGACGGAGGACAGACAGACTCAGACTCAGTAACAAGACTGGCGACGTAGTCTAGGCGACAGCGAGCAGCAAAGTCGACGAGCTCAGCAACTAGAGCAGACGCAGCAGTGGACTCAAAGGAAGGGTCAGTGACAACAGTAGCAAGGAGACGCGTGACAGGAGGACTGGCAGCGCGAAGAGAGTCCGACTCCGGGTCGGCAAGAGCAGGAAGAGAAGACTCAGGAGGAGAAGGCAAAGGGGCACGCAGAGGAGCAGTGGACGGACGCAGAGACATCCGGTGCGTGCCAGGGACAGGAGGAGGACGCTGACGCGAACCGCGACCACTAGTGCGAGCAGCACGGACAGGCGATGCAGGGCGAGACGCAGGCTCACGACGCTCAGCAAGACCTCCAGTAGGACCAGTGTAGGGAGACGGAGCAGGCAGTGGGGAGGCCAGCTGTAACTGTAACTGCGACGGGACAGGCTGTGGACACTCTAAGGGAGGAGGAGGACCAGTAGAAGGCGAGAGACCAAGAACCTGCTGAAGGAGCGGAACGAAGTACGGCCGAGGCCGCGCGGCGACTCCAGACACAGGAGGGACAGCACCAGCACCCCCAGTGGCAGCACCAGCGCCAGTAGCAGCTCCAGCTCCAGAACCCCCAGCAGCACCAGTAGTACCCCCAGCAGGACCGCCTCCAGGACCGACAGCAGTAGCCTCCGCGCCAACACCCGCAGCAACTCCAGCTCCAGAAGTACCCGCAGGTCCAGCAGCTCCAGTACTCCCAGTACGAGCACCTCCGGGACCCGTGGCACCAGCTCCCTCAGCAGCAACAGAACCTCCAGTACCCACAGCACCTCCAGCTCCAGCAGCTCCAGCAGCTCGCCTCCAGCGCCGGGCAAACCACTCACGCAGCTCCTAGGGAGAGAGTGGCTCCCGGCGAGAAGGAGCACCCGGAGAACCGCCAGGCACAGCACCACCAGGCGTAGCACCCC